ATTTTAATGCAATCGGCCGACAGAGGGCGGATAAGGCAACTGAAACCGAACCACTGTTGTAAATGTCTTCCTCGGCAGCGTGGCTCAGAATAAGGTTCTCTAGCACTTGCATGCTTGCCTTTGACATGGCAACATAGGTCCGTTTAGGTCCGGTCTGTGCGGCATAATCTTGCTCATACGGAAGAGTGACGAATTCTGAGACTTGTGTAATCAGCGCTGAAGGAACACAGCTAACATCCGTTCGAATCATCTTAACAGCTGCGAGAATCTGCGTTTGAAGTGGAGTGAGGCTCTCCACATCCAACACATAATTACCCATGGATGCCTCCTCCACTGTCTGGCGCAGCAAGGTGAGTATTCGCTTGACCTGATCCACTGTTAGGTCGGCTTGAATTAATCTATAAACCTCACGAAAAGCAGCAACATATGCGGTTAAGCAATTCTGGTTGTCTTGTGTCTTGCCCTTGACGGTTTTTGTAATGGGAATACCTCGTGACCATAAATCCCAGGCGATCTTGACAGTTGTCTCGTTGAAAATTGGCTTCAAATCGTCGCCTGACTGAGACAACACATGAGACAGAGTTTTGAACGTGGCAGTGTTGATATCCAACACTCTAAAGTCGAGGAGAGTCGCCAGATGCCCTAGCAGCTCGAGCCACAAGTCATTGAACGATGGGTGTACTGTGAGCACCTCGAGATAGTTTCCAAGCAACGTTGATATACCGTTGAGCACAACGACTGCAGTATCATGCCAATCAGAACGGTCACTGTCGTCCACCTCGTCGTCTTCTGCAGATTTCAACTCCCCCTCAAGTGAAGACAAAAGCCTGAAAACGACAGACTTTAAACAGATGGACCATGCCTCGGGACTGAGTCGATCACCATAGGCGTCGAATATCCGAAGCAGAGTCTGAATTGCACTGTTGCGCAGTTCAAGCCTGTCATCCGATGCAACTGCTGTGAGCCTCAGGAGCAGTAGCATCCATAGCGCAGCGCCAGAGCCATCTCGGCTACGATCTACTGCCATGTCTTCCAAGTTGGATGCTTCGGTACCCTGGATAAGGTCGGTGGTAATATCAAGCGATTTGTCCCTTCCGGACAAAAAGTCCGAAAGTGCCCAAAAGAATGTAATAGTCTAAACGTTGTTAGCAAATGAGTACTGCATGAGCAAATCATTTCTTACCGTTAATGCAATGTTCAAATCATCATCTTGAGAACAAAATTTATACAGCGTATCTACCAAAATCAAGAAACAGGAATTGGGTAGTGACGATAAAAAGTCCGAGCAGATGAGTTGAAGTGAGTTGAATGAGGATCGGACAAGTTTTGATGACCGCGTCTTGAGGCCTCTGGCATTAATAGGAGGCTCACGCTCCCCGTATGCATTGGAATCTCTCAGAAACACGCTTCCAATGATGTCAAATGCAATATCCCAGCCACTAACAAGGCTCTGTCCGCAGTCTTCAATGATGCTCCTAAGCCCCTCAAGAATGATTCGATGAATATCGACATCAGTCGTTGTGTTAGCTACGGATATACCGCGACCAGACTTTTGCAATGGGGCTAGAGCATCTCGTAATGCCCCGAGTAGACGAAGCTGGATTGGTCCACGAATCTCAGTTTGAAGGCCGCCCGTAACGGTGGCAGCCTCAAGCATTAACTTGGAAAGTATTTCAGCCGCTCTGTTTCTTACAGGTGGGTTCATGGAGGGCGAATCCAAGGTTTTGATCAACTGTTCGGTCAATGGTGTCCAACCTGACTCATCGGGGTCATATGATAGCAGTCTCTCCATGTTGATCATCGCAATCTCTCCAAGCTTAGCCAATGCGAACTGAAACTCCTGATTTGAAGTTGTTGAAACAGCAGTAGAGAAGCTCAAGACTCGGCGATGCCCGGACTGGGACGGCGTTTGTGTAGGCGTTAATGAGGGCGATTTTGACTGACTCTCTGTGACGGGCTTCCCACTGGGCTGACTCAAAAGCAGGCCACAAATGGCTTCAACCACTTCTACAAAGGCATCGTTGGGGAAATCAATACTGCTCTCGATGAGCCTCGTTGCAGCCGTCTCAACCGATCGAACTTCGGTGCTAAAGTTTGCCATGAGAGAGTTTGCATCAGCCTCAGCAGAATGATCCTGGCTTCCACGTCTGATAGATGCCGCCCTGCCCGGTGCCTTTCTGGTGATGAAGAGAACAAAATCAGCCTGCTGCAGTGTACCAAGTATAATTCCCCAAGCAGCACCAAGAGTTGGGCCAAGTGCAATACCGAGATTGAGTAGAGCCCGCAAGCAGAGAAGGTTCCGAGTGTTCAATGATGCTGCGGTATCGACTGATCCCTGTTTCTGCTTCTCTGTCAAAGGAGACCCTGGTGTCAAGCTCTCAACACTCAAAAGGCCTCGAGCATTGCTGAAAATGCTGCTTGATGTCTCTGTAGGCGTACTCGCACCAGCAGATCGTGGCTGGCCGGCATTAACACAGGCACTCAAAACATTGGGCGGCACTGCAGCTTTGCCCAGGGTCGATATGAAGGCATCTCGTGGGGTGTATAATTGCAACAACCCGGCAACATGGGCGAATCTTTGGAATGCTCGAACAAGCCCATGGTAATACTCCGAGTCCAGAGCAGCGTATAAAAAGGTCGAGCAGGTGGCCAATATAGCAGGCCAACATTCATTTACAATGTCTGCACAAATCTTCACCTCTGGATAGGCTGGGTGATCTTCCAGCTCTAGAGGATTTATAGGCACAGGGTTCTTTTTAAATGACGCCGACCTCTCCCTGTTTCCGCCACGGGCTGCTTCTGCCTCTAGAAGCGAAGGAGCTGGCGAGTTGCGTCCGCCATCCTGTTTGGAGGTTTTTCTGCGAGTACGATTTTCGGTGGGAACTGTGAGGGGAAGAATAAACTTGGCAAGCCCATCGGACAACGATGAGAGACAGGCCAGTATGAGACTATAAGTGTAAGATTCAGGGATAATGGGGGCTTCCGTCTTGTCCAGTTGGTCGATACATGGCACGCGAACGGAGCTCCATTGAGTGCTGATGCCTGTATTAGAGGCTTCCGATGCAACAGAGCCACTAATAATTCCCGCCACACTGCTGGCTTCTAGCATCGTTGGGTCAGAAGCCGCACCAGAGGTACCGACAGCATCCGTGACCGGCATTGTAGATTGAGGTCCAAGTCCAATTACAGCCGGCTTCTCGGTGCCAAGGCGGACAAAGGTCGCAGTTAGCGTTTTCAAGACATCCTTTTCTCCTTCTTTAGCATCGTATAGGGCCCAAATGCGTCGCACCAGAGCATGCTCGGCGAAGATGCCACGAAAAACCTCCATGCAGAGAGCTCTCTTCCAGATTGCAGTGTCTTGATCGAGAAGGTTGGTAAGGATGGTAAGCGCATCACCGCATTCTGATGGTAGGGTGGTAATATGCCGGCGTAGTAACGTATATAGGATGCGGACGAGTCTCACCGTCGTCGCAAATGTTGGCTTCGCCTTGAGCGCACTGATAATAAGAGGCATGACTCTATCACGAAGAATCTGTGCTTGCTCTGGGTGAGTGGTAAATACTGCAGCATGATTTGTTATGACTGATTCGATCAACTCGAGTCCAAAGGTTTGGGGCAAACCAGAGAAACGCAAGAACTCTGGCCTTTGATTCTCCGTCATGAGACATAGGTCGTTGAATATCTATCCCATCAGCCATGAACTTGATCCAAATGGAAATGTCTTCTTACTCGGTAAGCATCCAGCGCGGCTGAGCGCAATCCAACTTTATGGTCCCCAATGGGCACCTCGCCGGCAACGGGTACATCATTCCCAAGCTCTGTCAAGTGTCAGAAACAGCTACCACTAGCGAAACTGGCCACTTACTATCTTCAGCGACCACCTTGTCAAATACCGAAACAACCAACTGCTGCAGCGTAGCAGCTGAGGTATTATTTACAATGGCATTTTTGCTGGTCTGCAGAATAAAGCAGATATTCAAGGTAGTCACAAGCAGCTCGCCATTGAGGTCCTCTGAGTAATTCTGCACCAATGAAGGCAGCGCCTGCAAGATCTTTAACTGCACGTCCAAGCCCGCTGACGAAGCTTGCATCAAAGCATCCAAGACCTGGTTCAGCTTCGACCTCGGCAAAGCTCGCGCAACGATGAGGCGTTGCAGGCAGACGATGGCGATGGCAGTGAACTTTGTGTTTTTGGTGCCACATGCGATAATGAATGGATTCACGAAGCTGGGCCGCTGTGACAGCACTGAGAGTCTCGGTCAGGCGAAGTGACATATAAGGGGCTGTGGACAGTGCACATACACTCTGGAGCTGCAGTTTCGGGAACATTGCCCAATTGTTTCAGCTCATCGAGAGATTTCTCGGCTGCCTATGATAGCTAATAAGTAAAAATGGAAGGGTTCGCGCACGCATCGCCAGAGAGCCTCACTTGTCGCAGATCATTATGCTTCCTTTTGCTCTCTTGAATGAGATTAGCTAGCTCCGTGGCCAGAAGCTGTGTCGTCATCTTGAGCTTCGCTTGGGAATCCGCCCATCAGCGATCATGCAAACTGCTCTCCTTTCCATGCAGCCAAAGGGCCATGGAAATTGACAAAAGTCGTTGGATCAAAAACTTTGAATCTTCTTCCTTCTTCTGAGTTGCACCAAGTCCCGCTGAACAGGTAGGCTGATGTGGCAGGACGTGTCTCAAAGACTGGGATTTTGCGACGATGTGGCCAGCGCGGCCAACGTGCTTTGTCAGTGGCCTTAGCCCCTCTGCAATGGATAAGCGGTCGCCCTGGAACTAGAGCTAAGAACAATGGATGTTTTATCTTTTATAGCGAATCATGTAGCGAGCACCATTACCATCTCTGGGTTTTCTGAAAATCCATTCACAGCTTCCCCTTCCCAAAGTCTCATTTTTTCGGCGTATTGTGAGCAAATGATGACTCGCAAATCTCGCATTTTCAAGATTCCAAGTCAAAACTTATATGGCTATTAGCAAGTTTTTCCACCTTGACGCCAAGATGGCCGAGTGGTTAAGGCGATGGTTTTAAGTTATTCTTGAACACCATTATCGAGAGATTCCAGGGTTCGAACCCCTGTCTTGGCAACATTTCTTTTTTGCCCTTTTCGCATTCATCCCGAGCAATGATCATTCAACTGCGGAAATGGTTCATAGTCATGGAGAGCTAGTGTTGAACATGATTATTGATGGGTAGTTCCATTGTTCAATGTAAGCCTTCACAGCCCACGATGTTAAGATTCAAAACCGCGTGATTATTTGGCTCACGATAAAACAAAAATACATAAGGTAGTCCAACCCTTGCCCGCTACTCCAAGGGCATATGCTTGTCGCTCGAAACCGACGCCTGTTCCCATGCTTCCCAACGCGCCCATCGTATACAGGCAACGAGATTTTATCTAAACCAAGTCGCTGGACAATGTCTACACTTTCGCAGTCTCACTCGGCTTGGAGAATGCTAAAATCGTAGGCGACCGGTTGTTGTTTAGTGATGATAACATGGACAGCAGTGTGCTATTCATGTAAGATTTTAATGCTTTTGGTGTTCAGTCCATCTAAAGGTAAATAAAAACAATCTAGTGGTGGAGAGGAACAGATTGTTCATTGTATTGCACTGTACAGATTAGTTTGATGCCCCACTCAAAGCAAGGCAAAGCATCATGGGCATACCGAGTTCCACGAGCAACCCAATCTGCTCCAGAGCTAAGCTGGACAATTACACGGGGACATTGGTGAAGAGGTATGACACCGATTCGCCATTGTGGGTTCGTCGGATAGCCTGTGAAAACCACTGTGAGCAAGATGAGTTACCATAATTGCATCCAGGAAACAAACCTCGGCTAGTGTTCCAGATACGTCGATGACCTTGAGCTTTGAGCACCGCTCAGTCTTATCACCAACTACATCATTCAAAGTCAGCTAGTTTCGCGTCAAGTGGAATCCCAAGCAGTGATTTTTTCCATCACCGGGCAAGGAAGATTCTACGTGACTTACGTGGGACAGCTATCACGCTGTTAGTACATCATGAATATGTGGGGGGAAGAGCACAGCATACTGTTTGTAACCACAACGCCAGCCAAGCATGAGTTGTTAATGGTCTCAATGGCCTTACCACTGAGAATTCCATGTGTGACAATAGCAAAGACTTGTCGAGCACCGTTCTGATTCAAGGTCTCGGCGGCTTTGGCAAGCTGAGAAAGCACAATTAGCTCACCAGTTGCAAGTCCATGTTGCCATTCAAACATACCGTTCCACAGGTATCGGCCATGTCATCTACGAGAATGGCCACCTTGTCCTGGACATCACCAACGAGAACCATGCGGCCTACAACGTTAGGTCGGGGCCGCTCCTTGTGAATGAGAGCGAAACCAGTGTTTAGACGGTCGGCAATTGATGTCGCGCGCTTTGCTCCACCCGCATCGGGTGAGACAATGACACAGCTCTCAGCGTCTAGGTTCTCGCGGATCCAGCGTAGCACAGAGGGCTCCGCATAGAGGTTATCCACGGGGACGTTGAAGAAGCCTTGAATCTGTGAGGCATGCAAATCCATGGTAATGACATGATTCTAGGACCAGATTAGATTTTTGCCCGGGGCAACAGTATATGAATTGGACATACACATCCAGACACCTGGAGCATGTTTGCGATGAGTTTGGCGCTGATGGGGGCGCGGGATTTATCCTTCTTGTCCTGGCGGGCATAAGGAAAATTTGGAATGACGGCGGTGATGCGTCGAGCAGAAGCCGTGCGACAAGCATGAATCATGATGAGCAGCTCCATCAACCCATCGTTCACATCTCCAGGCGCGGTAGACTGGAGGATGAAGACATCTTCATCTCGAACAGACTCGCCAATAGAAACGCTGGTCTCTTGGTTCGAGTAGTTGAGGCTTATAGTATTGGCAATGTTGATGCCGAGTCTGCAACAAAACAATCAGCTCAGGTCACCCAACCCGCACCGCACATATCTCGCCCTCCCCATCTCCAGTCTTCTTTTTTCCAACCCAACAAATCGAAAGAAATCTTCGACATACCGGCTAGCGACCAAGCCGCTGAGCTCCGGATGGGAGGTCCCCGAAATGAGCTTGATCTCGTTTGCCATTTGATCCAACATGATGAAGAAGAAGTTATGTTGGCGGGGCCAGAGAAGGCTCTCTCAGTTAAAGAATGAGAAAGTTTTAGTGGGAAAATTTGTGCCAGTCGGAGCAAATGCAAGTGTCTCAGAATGACGCACAGAGACCAGCAATGGTTGACGAAAGTTGCAAACAGCGTAGATGCAAGTTATATATTGGAATGCTTTTTTGAAGTGTCTGAGTTTTTTTCTTATCATAAACTTTTATTTTATTTTTTTAGAAGTCTACTAAAGGGAGCCGGCGTCATCATAACCATGGCTCCCTTCCTTCCCGTCCAGTACAGTGTGTACATGTACATTCCGCAGGGAGGATGAGCTTAGCAGCACACAGCGCTGACAGTGAGTGAGTCATGTGACAGGACTGTTGTGCCAAGTTGGGTGCGAAGTACCTTCTCTAGGTAGGTTGAATTTTCATCCAATGGCTTGAAAAGAGGCCAGTTATTACCTCATAATTACTATGTAGCTCGCGGTGTTGACATGATCATGACTCTGCTTCCATGTTTGCTGTCCACTGCACACTCTATAGGAAACAAAACAAACACAAAAACAATGTGCACATATGGACTTGCAGCAAGCCGCATATGGCCTGTGGAACTCGCTGACAAAATTGACCCCACAAAGTAGTCGCGGATTTGACACAGAAAAGCATGCCCATCCTATGAACTGGACTGGACTGGACTGAACCGAACTGAACCGAACCCTTGCGTGCCGCCGCCTTGTCGATATGATTCTTTGGATGACGGCGGGTGCTAAATATTATTAGTGGCCCCTCTCGCCACCCAATCCTCTGACTGGCACCAACGACGTCAAAATGTAGTCGTACAAACCTTTTCCTTGTCCTTCAGCCTCGTGCCTCGTTTTTACTCACTCATGCTTCTTCAAACCATGAGCTGTGATATCCTGCGGGGGCCCTCACGGAACACTGCATAAAGGCAAAACCGCACACGTGATTGGTTTCGTTCATTCATCTCGCCGTGCACACCGCTCGCCTTGTCGCCGTTCACTGCCACCACCGCAGGCGCTTAGTACGCTTCCGCAAGCCATGCTACAACATCTCGCCAGTCTCCCATCATGATGGCGCCGTACTCATCTCTTCCTCTACGCCTAAACCCCACGGCATCCTCCTCCACATCATCTCTCAACGACATGCAGATGCGAAACCGAAAATTGCGCCTGCTCGTGGCGGCTGCGGGCCCGCGAGATACTTCGTGGGCCCAGGCACTCGTCGTACGCCTTTCCAAGAACCCTCAAATCGAAATGAGAGCCATCGTCGACGACGTTGTCCCGCGATTGACTCAAACGATAATCGTCATGCAAAACTTTAGTTTGGCACCCGGCCAAGGCGACCGCGCCGACGACGTCGAATTCTACAGACAGCAGGCATTCGATTTGGTGGAGTGGGCTGACCTGCTGGTCTGCGTCCCCCTCGATGCGGACGGGATCGCAAAGATGTTGGCCGGCGTGGCCGACACCTTTCTTGGCGAAGTTTTAAGAGGATGGAATTCGCAGAAAATCGTCGTTCTGGTGCCGGGCATGAGCACACACATGTGGTCAAGCCCTTTAACCAAGCGCCAATTGAGCAAACTCCATAGGAAGTGGCGTTGGGTCCGAGTCTTGACACCGATTCTATGGCACTACGAAGGTTCGCCCCATCCGAAGAGAGTGCCCAACTGGAATGGCTTCAATGAAGTCTTGAGCATCATCAAGAATCAAGCAGACCTGCTGGGACTCGATCGCGATGTTGAATTTGTCACTGGCCTTGTGCCGGTCACCGAGGGCAATGGCAAAATCCGGTCAAAGCTACCGCCGGAAATCTGGACGATTATACTCGAATACGCAGGAGACTGGGAGCTGGCCAAGGCCATGGGAGTGTACACAACCCTGCCAATGCCTTCACCGTGGACATTACAACCAAAGGACCCCACCAACCTAGTCAAAGTGTACGAGCATGAGCTGAAATGGACAGCTCTGACAAGCACCCCAGCCGCCGTATGCAAGAAGCTTTCACAGGCGCCGCCAAATTTTCTAGATTTGCCAGCTCTGGTTGTCAAACTGGTAATTCGCTTTGGCTTCGTCGAAGTGCTTGCTTACTTGGAAGCCAACCGACCGGATTTGTTCAGGGATTTTGAGGGGACCACCCTGTCGACAAGAGCATCAGCATATTACGGTCGCACAGACATATTGGAATATTGGAGACAGAGTAAACATTTCAGAGACAAGCACATTTATGACACAGAGGCTATTGATGGTGCATCCAAAAACGGTCATGTAAGCGTGTTGGACTGGTGGTGGCGGCGGTCAGGCCTGCAGATGCGGTATACCGAAACTGCTCTTGAGCAAGCAAGTGCTAAGGGCCACTTGCTTGTCCTCGAATGGTGGCGCGATGCCGCCGCTCAAGACGAGAACATCGTGCTACGCCCCGGGCGGTCGCTTCTTTGTGCGACGCAATGTGGTCAAGCAGACGTGCTGAAGTGGTGGGATGCCTCTCGTATACCTGTCGGCCACGGTGAGGGAATACCTAAAATGGCTAGTCGATGGGGGCAAGTTGAATGCCTCGAGACATGGCGACAACTCAAAGGAGACGATAAGCTCGTGTTCGATGAGGAGGTGCTGGTCGCTTCCACCGTACATCAGTATATTGATGTTCTCGAGTGGTGGCGCAAGTTTGCACATGGACAACTACCCGGCATGGACGGACGCAAGCAGCTAGTGGAGTTCCGAACGTGTAATATCGAGGAAGCACTAGAGGACAGCATTGGTGACCAGAGCAAAGTACGAGAGTGGTGGGCGCAGAACGGGCTAAATCTAGGACTCCGAAATGAGGAATGGCTGCAAACCAGGCATCTATGAGACTACGAACATTTCGACTAATGTGTTTATGAGATGACGCTGGGAAAGGGGGCAACATCAGGGATATGCATCTTGTCTGTGGCGTTTTGGATAGCGAGTCTTTACCG